GCAGCCCGGGATGTGACAGCTGTGCAGGCCCTTGCGCCGCAGGCTCGCCCCGGCCGGGCCCAGCCGCTCGGCCTCCTGGCAGTTGGGGCAGTCGCAGGTGGCGCGGCCCGAGTAGCGGCGGGCGGAGCGCGCCGAGCTCCCCCCGGCGGCGGCGGCCGCGGCGCCCGAGATCATGGCGCTGGCGGCGGCGGCCGCCACGGCGGCGCTCGAGTCCGAGTAGGAGGGCAGCACCGGCTTGAAGCCGTCCTGGGCCAGCAGGTGCTGGCTGGTGGAGAGCAGGTGCGAGGCGGCGGCGGCCGAGGAGCCGAGGCCGGTGGAGCTGAAGGCCGAGTGCGTGAGCGAGCTGAAGTCGGGGTTGTAGGTGCCCAGCTGCGAGTGCAGCGAGGCCTGGGGGGCGCCCGAGTGCAGCGAGCTCTGCAGCCCCCCGCCGGGGTTCTGCACCTCCAGCCACGAGCCCGGGCTGCTGTGCACGTCCCACCACGACGACGCCGCGCCGTTGGTCACCTCGCCCGCCGCCAGCGTCGAGTGGAAGCCCGACTTGTACCACGACTCGTACGGGTGCGCCATGCCCACGCGCGGGTACAGGCCGTCGGCCGCCGTCGTGTGCACCTTGGAGATGAAGGCCGATTGGCCGCCCGCCTCCTGCGGGGACACCCCGGCCGCCGCGGCCGCGGCCGCCGCCGAGTTGGAGAAGAGGCCGCCGTAGTCGCTGCTGAAGGCGGACGACGTGGGCGACGTGGAGGCCAGGCAGAAGGCGCTGTTGGCGGCGCCCGAGCCACCCGCCAGGCCGCCCGAGCCGCGGCCGCCCGTGGCCACAGCGAAGCCCGAGAGGCTGGAGCCGAGGTTGCAGCTGGACGAGGAGCGCTTCCAGGGGTGGAAGCCGCCCTTGGCGAAGGCGCTCGACTCCGGCAGCGTCGTCAGCGGGCTTGTGTTCCCGATCTTGTTGCAGGTCGCCGCCAGCATGGCCAACGGGGTCGTTCCGAAGCGTGGCTCTTCCTGGAGGGGGTGGGAGGAGGGAGCAAGGAGGAAGGGGCAGGAAGTGAGGGGGGGAAACACAAAGTGCACCCGTGAGCAGCCGCGTCCCCCCCCGCCGCGGGTCCCGGGGGGCCGCGGCTTCCCGGCTCGCGCCTCCTCCCCACGCGCTCGCGGAGGAGGTGCTGCGTCCCGCGCGGGGCAGAGGCGACCGCAAGCACAAGCGTGAAGGTCCGGGCGCTGGAAAGTTGGTCTTGGGTGAAGCTGCGAATCAAAGATGCCTGACTTTTTTTCCACCTTAAGTCGCTGCTAGCCCTGCCTAGCACCGGACTTGGGTTGTCGCCATAAACCGGCTTCTCTCCCAGAAGCCCCCAAGTCGCCCTTCCGGGTGAGGCATGAAGGTAAACAGACAACAAACACCGGGTGCTGGGGGAGGCAGCTGAATCAGCCGCCCAGGGACCGGCGAGACTTGGAGCACTCCTCCCAAGGGTGGCTACCCCGGTTTTCTTTTTAAAATAGGAAACCGTGGTTTTAATATTTACACACACACACACACACACACACACCAATTACAAAAACAATCCGAGGGGATAAGCAATCAGGCAATGGTTTTTACAGTCACAGCGAACTGGGGAGCCACGGAAATGCAAATGTTTATAACGTGACTACTTGGACTGCAAAACGATTAAGACTGTTTTCTGGAAACACCACTGTCTTGTTATTTCAACAATCCCCAAAGCAAGGGGGGATGGGGTATAAATCAACGAGGAGAGGAAAAGATAACCTCCAGCTTTTCTTTTCAACCAAATAAAAAGGAACTTGTTTAAGAAAGCCTTTTCTTGCAAAGGCATCTCCCGGGTTCCAATAACTTGGGAAGAGCCAACCCCGGAAATGTGGAAAGTGCTTAAAGAAGCTGCAGCTGCAGTCCAGCAACAGTTTCTTGGGAGCCGCGGTCCCAGGGAAGCCATAACGAAAATTTACTCCAGTAAAAACAAGCAAATGCGTTGCCGCGCTTGCGACTTACCCCCAGTATAGAAGTGGCCATAGCAGGTCTCTGGGCTGCGCGGCGGGGCCGGGAGCGGGGTTGAGCCTGGCGGCTGCTGGAAACACTGCTCTGGTCCCGCGCGGCTCCCGCGTCCCGCGCTCGCGCCGAGCGGACTCCGGGCTCCCGCCGGCTAAACTCAGCCTAAGTGCGAGGAGCACCCGCTTTGAAGTGCCGCTGGCTGCGCCTCTCGCCCAATGAGGGCGCAGGCAGAGCAGACGGGAGCTGCCCCGCAGCCAATCAGACGCGCCGAGGGGCCCGAGCCCGGGCTCCTGGCGCGTGCCAGTCAAGTCTGCGGGCGAGGGCAGGAGGGGGGGGCGGGTTGGGGGACAGAAGAAATTACAGTGCAATTAAAAATTTACACACATTCACGCACCAAGCCAGGTTTAAGTACCGTTCAGACCGAGCCGCGATCCCCCCTGAGCCACCCCAAGATGTTGCAAGTTAGGGCTGACAGCTCTACTCCTCTCCCCACTTGTGGGAAAGGAGGCAGGAGGGGAGGGGGCGCGGAGGCGGAGGGCCCAACCGAAGAGGGAAATGTCAACGCTCACTTTGTGTGTCCAGGCTCTTGCCTGCCTAGCACAACTTCGACTTGTATCCATCCGTCTCGCTCGCGATTTTATCATTGTCGCGATATCATTGTCTTCCACCAAGTTCGTTATTCCCATGGATCCAGGCTTACTCTCAGAGTCACATTGAGGAGGGGGCGCGAAGGGACAGCTTCTCCGAGAAGAGAGAAATAGGCCTTTTCCTACAGATCTACACCACAGACTTGTTGGGAGGGCCTGCTGCATCCCGCCATTTCCCATCAGCGGTCTAAGTGACTTCCTAATTGTCGTTCTGCCCTCTGACCTGGGGGGTAATGCAAGTGCCACTCACAGCCAGAAGCTTCTGGTGGTAATTGAGGGCACCCTTTGTACCGTTTCGCCAGCGCCTAGATACCAGGTTAACCCAGTTGTCAAATATGACTAAACAGTGGGACGTGCTGATTATCTGCCAGGTTTTGCTGGGGGCTGGCGAGGGGGTGGGAAGATCAGCCCATACAACACGCTGCACGAAGCCGCTTATTTTCACATTGTAACAACTTTGGAAACAGAGACCGGCGCGAGAGGCGTCCGCCCCCACCGCCACCCCCGCTGAAGCTGCAGCTTGCTAGGCTGTTTGTTTAACCCGGCGAAGATTTGCATGTCGCGTTTCAGCCTGGAGCCGAGCTTTAGAGGATGGTTAGTCAGTTTTCTTGCCCCAGCGCCAACCCATCCCCAATCAGGACCGCCAGGGCCTACAGGCTCGTCTGCAGGGTAACGGCGCAGACGTTAAGAGGTAGGCTCATTCTGGCACCCCACTTTCGCAGACGTGCTGAGGAGCCTGTCCTCGACCTTCACGGTGAGTGTGGAGGACCAGGCCACACGTGGGCGCCTCCGCCTTCTGCATGCTGGAAGCATCCTGAAGTCCCCTCCGGCCCTTGGTGGGAAAAGAGATGTCCTCACACACACCAGGGCGCGTGCTGGAGTCCCTGAGCCAAGGCGGAGCTGTTTCTTCCCTTCTTTCTGCAGCTTCACTTTCTCTTTCTTCTCCAGGGTAGCCAGAGGCTGCTTTTGAACTAGAAATAACAGCGCCCACGGGCAGACCTGGGTACTGATTTTAATGAAGCACATTCCCCTCCAAACCCACATCCTGTTCTTTAAAAATAAATAACCACCAACCCCAAATGCTCGAGTGCAAAAGACAAGTTGTCGCAGAGGGGAGCAAATGAGGAGAGTGTGGAACTCTGCTCCCAGTGTTTTCTCTCCTCTTATGCAAGATCCCTTGGCCCCAAAGTACGACCACCCCGTAGCGCTTCCCTCGGCCCTAAGATGGAGCCTGTGAGCACCCTGGAGCACTTCGTGGGTGGGGAGGGCTCTATGGGTCGCTGTCTTTGCTTTTCGTTAGAATACTTTTGCTCAGAATGCCTTTTTTTAATGCTTTAAGGTAGAGAGATAATCGAGGAAATGATAAGAGAACGAGAAAAGAGGGCGAAGAGCCGCACAGCTATAAATGAAGCGTTATGCCCAGAGGGACTATGATGGAAACCAGAGGGGGTGTGTATGTGAAAAGCCTCTAGGGGATGCAGGATGCGAGGCTAAGGGGAAATCAGGCGGCCTGGAAGAGCCGGAAAGCCCGGCAGGGGGACCCGGGAGCTTTTCCCAACAGGTGACTTGTGCCCTGCAAGGGGAGACTGGTCCTCGGCTTCCTGTAGCGTCTCCGCTTCGATTTACTAATAGAGGAATTGTTAAGTGGCAACGAGGCGTTTCCGACTCACCCAGTGCAGCCCAGGGAGAGGAAGCTCTGAGGTCGTCCCCCCCACCCCCGCCTTTCCCCCCAACACACCCTCTCCTTAAGGAAACGTGACAAAGTAATAAATAAGACCATCCGAAAAACCACTTAGCATTGGTGACATTTTCAAGCCAACCATTTAAAACAGTCCTAGCAGGCACCTCGGGCTCCCTGCGCCCGGCTCGAGCCGCTTTCCCCCTCTTGCGTCCCCTCCCCCTCCGCTGTTTTCCGCGTAGTTCCAGCTGTCAGACTCTGGACGTGGGCACTCGCATATTCCTTTAGACACACGCATCGGCATCACAATAAAAGTTAGGAAAATCTTCCAAACGAACACGGGCAAACACCCGGGCCAGTTCAACTCTAAGGTGGCGCCCCAAGGAAATCTTTCGGAGGAAGTCCAGTTTTTTCTTTTTCGTCTGACAGATTTTTTTTTCATCCTCTAAAAAAATCTAGTTTTTAAACAAAGATCAATGTGTTATGCTAAAGTGTTGAGCTGACTGTTAAAACATTTGGGGAAATAATGACAATGTAACAAAGGCCTGGTTTGGAGTGAATCATCACCCTTTTAAAAGTTAAAGCAATTTTCAGGAGAATAGCTTTCAGCAAACGCTTTACATTATTCAAAACGGCCAAATAATGCTCTATTATAGCGCCTGAATGCTGCCAGTCAGCCCCTAAGTGCAATTTGTGCAAAGGCCCCGGTGCCTTATCTCCACTTCTTTATAAAGAGGTGAATATAAAACAATTTCTTCCAAACCCAGACAGAGAGCACGAAAATTGCTTCCCTTTCTGCAATCAGGGCAATTTAACTGGAGTGCAATTAGCACTATTAAATGTCGATTCTGCATAAACAAATCTGACTGAGCAGAGAAAGTGGGGTGAGAACCTCATATACACTGAAACTGATTTTTTAAAATTATGTATCCGGGTCCTTTACAATTGATCCGTCACGTTTTCATCTTGGAATATATTTACATCGTAAATACACTATGGTTAAATCAACATAATTTTTTTGCAAAAAAATTCAGTATGAATCCTAATAAAGAAGAATAGAGTAATTAAAGGGAAGAGTTCACTTCCTTTGAACAAATATTGTTCCTCCCATCTTGCTTCTGCACAAAGCTTTGATCTGAGCCTTTGCTCAAGTTGTTGTGTTTCGGAGGCAAAGCCGGGGAACCGATTCCGTCCTTAACGGTGATCGGAAGGATTGGAGCTCCTCCGCCACAGATAACACGCGCTCCCTGATGCACAGGCAGGGTGGCGACCCGGAAGACTAGTTATTTTCTGAACTCCTTGATATGGTAGCTGCGTAAATATTAGGTGGCTGCTGTCTCCTGGCAGCTTTGACTAGGCAGTTTAGGAGAGAATGCACAGTCTTGGGGTGGGATGAGGCGGAGTTGGGGAGACTGGAGGATAAGAGCGGGAGGGGAGGCTTTGGGAAAGGAGTAACCGAAGGTTCTCGAATTGATGGGTCTGGCTGCTGCGGAAGCCTGGTCCACCAGAACCAGAATTCCGGGCAGGGGCGGGAGTAAGAGGGAGAGGAGTTCTTAAAAAGCATTTATCTGACCTGTCCTCCCACCTGCCTTTATTTATTTATTTGGTAAGCCACAGAGCTCCCTTTTTGAATCATTTGCGCAATTAATTATGCTTTTCATTTGCATGATCTACACTAGAGCAGTGATTATCAGGTCAGCACCGAGTGGGAGTTGGGGAGATACATTAATAACTTGAATTTTAACAATATTTTAAAAGCTGCTGTGTACCGTTGTCGTCTGCCGTGAGGAAGGAAGCCCAGTGCAGCCCTAAGCGCCTGTTGAGTGTGGTGAAACCTTTCCGCAGTTGGAGTTTGTCAGTGTGAGTGAAAAATGAAATGTAGCCTTTGATTAGAAGGGAATCTTTTACAGTTAACATATATTTATATCTTTAAAAGCACGAGCATTGAGATCAAGTGGATCAAGAAAATTAATTGAAAATTGAGGAACTCTCCCACAATTTCTGTTGAGCTTTCATTTAATATTTGTTCTATAACGCTCTCCTTCATTTTAGCCCAACCCTGGCAAATAAAAAAGCCAGGAAGAATCAATAGGCCAATGGGACGTTCATCTCCCCTCCCCCATCTCAGAGGTATTACTACTATTTAGAGGTGGTAGGAGATGCAACTCTTTCTTGCCTCTGTAAGGTCTGTTGGAGAAATTGAAAATCCCTAGTCTATTAAGTACAGTCCAAACGTTTGCTACACAACTAATTTTCTGCTGCTAGATGTATCTGGGCCATATATTTTAAGCTTGCCTTCATCTGTTTATCTGAGCCAAAAATGCATGAACAATTAAAGCAAAGACTGGTGTGTCAAAGGAAGGAAGGTGACTGTAGACTGTGTGATGATTTTAATGACTGCAATTATTGGAAGATTATTCAACAAGCATCATAGATTTGCTTACTGCATTGCTAGGGACCTATGGGGGGCCTATTTGGCTTGGAGTTGTACTTTCTTCCTCCCTCCTTCACTAGCCACCAGGGAAGGGCCCTAGACCTAAGCAAAATGGCAGTCAGTGCTGGCTTTCTTCTTTATAGGAGCATCTCCTCCAAAATGATGTTCATTGTTGTCTCAGCCAACTCTAATAGAACCCACTTTGGAGACATTAAAGGACTTTTTCACATAAATCTTGAACTGATATCAAGAAAATCCAGTGGCCAGAGGATTCTGGTCATGAGTCATCTTCTCCCAGCCAGGGTACCATTTTCTTCAGTCCTACCTATCCATAGGCAGCTTTTGAGGAGGCCTCCAACTTCCGACTCCTTCCTTCTCCATCCAGGGTTTGGAAAAAGAAGG